AGAAAAGACCCTGCCAGTCAGTATCAACTGTTAGCCAGGCCAAACTCTGAGGAAGGGGAAGATTATAATGACTACGGTGATGATTATTAATTCAACATGTGTAAGGTACTTTGCTAGCTGATAATGTATTAAATGGAAAAGGCAATGTGCAAAACAATACTTATAACAAATAAGTATAAAGCTTCTTTTGAGAGTGATGGAAAAATCTTGGTATTAGTGGCGAAGGTTATGCACTAGAGTGAATATACTAAAAGTCATTAAACAGTACACTTGAAAATGGTAAATTTCGTTACATGAATTATATCTCAAAAATTAAAAATAAAAATCCTAGATGTAGAATATAAAAGTATATATACATTAACTTGTACAGATTAGAATAGATCATAAGGTCACATAACAAAGTATCACCATTGATTCTCTCAGTTGGTGTGCTTACAATCATAGATGACCACAAAAATTTCATTATAGAAAAGGAATTATGTACAAATTTTTAAATAGGGATTTGAGAAAAATCACTTTTACCTAATTCTCATTTTGTTAGAGCATTAAGTCACTAACGTCCTCAGAAAACCTCACCTTCAGTAGACCTGTTGGTGTAGCTCTTTTAGAATTATGCCAATGTTTCACATACTCAAAAAATAAATAATTAAAATAAATGAAGAGTAGAGGGGAAGGACACAAATGGAACACAAACATACAAAAAATAACCTAACTGCATGTCAAACAAATAACCCAAACATACTATAGTAGTGGAAAGAAAAGGAAATAATAAGCAATTTTAGAAAACAGTATTTTGATTATATACACTATATAGCTAAATATAAAAAGAACTACATACAACACAGATGAGCCCATCAACCTAGAGGATACTGTGTTAAATGAAATAAGTCATGCACAAAAAGACAAATATCTCATGATCTCACCTATATGTGGAATCTAAGTGTCAGACCCATAAAAGCAGACAAGTAAAATGGTACTGGGGGTGGGGGGAGGGGATGGAGAAATGTTAAAGACACGAAAGTTCAGTTGGACAGAAGGAATGAGTCATATAGACCTACTGAACATCATGGTGACAACAATGATAAAGATATACTGTATATACTTGAGAGTTGCTGAGAATAAATTTTAAATGTTCTCATCATAAAAAAGACAAATATGTGAGGTAATGCATATGTTAATTAGCTTCAGCCATTCCATAACGTGTACATATATGAAAACATTGCATACACACAAATATTTATAATTTTTGTCAATCAGAAAAACTGCACACAAATATATTCAAATGAGCTTGTTTCTCAGGAGTATGAGTTCAAAATACTGAAACTAAGTGTATTCTAGAATTGAGCAAATAAGTACATTTATTACGGATAATGAGAACCATGTTTCTCACCATTGGAGAAAGAGTCACAAATAAGGAAGAGGGAAAAGCTAGAATTAACTCTATGCTGCTAGACTGGAATCAAAGATATTAGTTAAGCTTAGTTCATACTGATACCTTTGATTCCAGTCTAACATATGTGTGTGTACCCATATTACACAGCAAGTTCTCACTTAACATGTTGATAGGTTCTTGGAAACTGCAACTTTAAGTAAAATGATGTATAAAGAAACCAACTGTTGGCCACGCCTGGTGGCTTCTGCCTGTAATCCTAACATTCTGGGAGGCCAAGGCATTAGGATTCCTTGAGCTTAAGAGTTTCAAGTTCAAGATCAGCCTGAACAAGAACAAGACCCCATCTCTATTAAAAATAAAAAAACTAGCTGGCAGCATTGTGGTACATGCCTGTAGTCCCAGCTACTTGCAAGGCTGTGACAGGGAGATCACTTGAAGCCAGGAGTTTGAGGTTGTTCTGAGCTAGGCTGGTGCCATGGCATTCTAGCCTGGGCAAAAGAGTGAAACTCTACCTCAAACAAGCAAATAAATAAACACCAATTGTTTTTTCTCATCAACACTATAATAAAATGATGTGACTCTGAATGAAACAATGTTATTCAAGGGTCTGCCATATACATCATTTTACTTAAGGTCATAGTTTCCAAAAACCTATCAATGTTGTTAAGTGAGGACTTAAATATATACACAGATAGAGACTTTTTGTGTGCATATACATATATATTTCCTAATTCTGCCTACTGTGAAGGCCTAGAACCAACTTCACCTGAACAGCAATGAGCATAAATAACACCCAGATTTTGATTTCTAAATACTACTTGCAAATAAAAAGAACCAGTATTCCCTGGAGAAATGTCTGAATCCAGGGCTCGGACAGGAAAAAGACAAAATGAGCCTAGAACATCATGTAGTCCCAGAAAATAAATAAGTCTTCAAAAATGATGGAGATAAAGACCTAGGAGCTCCCAGTGACCAAATATAGGACAATCTGAGTAATAAAATAAATAATGACAGCAGTAGATTTTAACTCAGAGAATAAAACAGCTGTTTTAGTAACAGAATCTTCTTTTCAAGTTGAAATTACACATAGCAGAGTGGAAGAGTCTTGATACACCCAAACCAGCATCTGAAGCAAGTTATCAAAATTAACATTGTCATTAATGAGATGTAGTGACAAGATGTGCCTCCTGATATGATACACTAAAAAGGCTATTACAACATCACTTATGCATACTCTGAATCTAATAAGCAAATATTAGAAAAGCCCAAGTGGAAAGACATTCTACAAACTAATTAGTACTCTTTAAAAATGTTAAGAACACGAAGACAAAAAAGACAGGAACCATCCCAGATTAAAGAAGACCAAAGAGACATGGTAGTTTAAATGTAAAGGTTATTTTGAAAACAAACAAACCATGAAAAGAACATCTGTGGGACCAATGGCAAAATTTGAATACATTATGCAGACTAGTTAATAGTAATGTACAAATTAATACCAATTTGCTGATCCTGGTAACTCTGTTGTAGGTTATCTAAGGCAGTAACAGTTGATGAAGCTGGGCAAAAGGCTATATGAGAATTATTTCACTGATTCATAACTTTTTTTAAAGTCTAAATAATTATTTCAAAACGAAAAGCCAAAAAAAATTTAAACTTCACTGACCAGAACATAGGACAGGAGATCAAGTTCTGGCCCATATCAGCTTAAGATTTGCATACCTTAGAACAGGGTATCCAATCTTTTTTTTTTTTTCTTTACTGCTGTACACAGGAAGAATAAAAGTTGTCCTGGGCTATACATTAAATACACAAATGCTAATGAAAGCAGGTCCATGCATACTTTTTGTGATATTTGACACCACAGATAGCAAAAAACGACCTCACAAAATCAGAATTGTGGCCCATAGGCCACAAGTTGGACACCCTTGCCTTACAGCAGTTATTTCAATTCATTACACATAAGTGGCTTTAACTATATTTATGGATTCCAATTCATTCTCATTCACTCTGAGAAACCTATGGGGCAGGACAAAGAGGCTGAACAAGTAGACACCCCTGGCTCATCACACTTCATTCAATGCATTCCTACTTCTATCTGCTTTATCTGGGTAATTCCATTTGACAAGAGGATTCTGCTCCTGGTAAAAGTAGCTTGAAATACTATTTAGCACAGAAAGGTAACCAACTATTGATACATGACCTAATCTGGATGAAACTCAAAAATTATGCTAAGTGAAACAGGCCAGACACAAAGAATACATGTGATTCCATTGATAGGAATTTCTAGAACAGGAAAAACAAATGTGTATATCCCATATATTACATTTCTATCCATATATTCTCTATCATACATACTATTACATATGGTATGGTAATATAAATCAGATTAGTTGTTTGGGGCAAGGGCAGAGAAGACTGGGAGGGAACATAATGAGAATTCCCTGGGATGATGGAAATATTCTTTTTATTTGGGGTGGTGGTTATGAATATATATATATACATATATATATATATATATATTTGTCAAAATCCATGGAACTGTACACTTTTAATGACTGCACTTTATTGTGTTTAATTTATAGTTCAATAAAGTTGACTTTAAAATTGTATCTCAAATCTTTTGCATCAAAGGAATTCCTGGTTTCTGATTCATTAAATTCATTAATGACTGCAAATTTCAGTATCGAGACAGCAAAAGCAACATGTAAAAAAGAATAAAACCATGACCAATCCTAGCTAATGCTGACTTAAATAGTCAGGAATTAAATTACAAATATTTTATCACATACCTTATAGAAGAAATACTGTACAAGGTGTGCTATTCTAACATAATATAGATGTCCATGAGCCAATAGCAGTTTCTTTAAATGTTTAAACTTTGGAACAGAATAATCGCTATTCCTGGCTGCTTGGCGACCTTCTTTGCCTTTAATACCTAAAAAGAGAATATCTCTTTAGGGCAAGTGCTTTATAGAATAAGCAACCTCCTGGTTTATTTTCACATCTTCAACCTGCTTAAATGTTATAGTTCAACCGCATAGTTCAGCTTTACTTTTTTTTTTTTTAACCCAAAAGGGCTTTGTTAACAGTGACACTGAAACTTATCAAATAAATGGAAAGTTAAGTTTAATTGGTAACTACCCATTTGAAACACCATATAAAAGAATTACATAGAGTCATTATTTCAATCATTACAAGACAAAAAATATCTGGAGGCAAAAATATTCAACCTGAAAATCATTTTTAAGGCATTCATTAAGTGCTTAATTGTGCACTGACACTAGACTAGGTGCTACAGTAAGGCCATTCAGAAACTATGGGTTTGTGATCTAGGAGCTCAATGAGAAAATGGTAAAATCCTTACACTGAATGAAATTCTGACTAATAGCCCAAAGGTTCCATGAATTCAAACACCTTTAGGCCCTTTCCATAATGGATAACCAGTGAATGGAACTTAAGAGTTCTACACTAAATAGGACTTCTTCCAAATGGAAAAAAGGATTGAGAATCAAAACTGCAGTACAATAATTTTCCAGACATTATTTCCATATGTAGCCCCACCTTACTGTCAAAGAAAAAAGTCCTGGGGTGTTAGGTTTATTGCGTAACAGCAGCCTGACAGGGGGAAAATGGTATAGGTGGTAGAAAAGCTACTGTTGAATGTCAACATATAAATTCAACACTATAGCTCAAACTACCCATCAGTACTGCCACCATGAACATCAACCAGCCAATTATCATTTCTTAGCTCTCAACGATTAAGAATCTCAATGGATACAGTACAGCAACATACATAGCGTGGCCAGGGGCAGAAAATCAATATAACTTCATGTATAATGTCAAAGTGAGAGCTAAACAATCAATTGTGTTGCCCAGAGGTTTGGGAAATTCACTGTACTTGGCTAATCAAAGAATAGCCTCTAACTTTGTATTGCTACATTCCTGCCAGGAGTAGGAGCTTGGGATGGACATGTTCCATGGTCAGATGAGGCCCTTCATTCATTTTAACAATTATCATTCCAAAACTCAAATTTAAGATGAACAACCAAAATGATCTCTCCAGAATGTAAGACCACTTTACCAAAAAGCAATAATGATACTGTATAGTCTCTATCTCATTAGATGTTTCTTACCTATTCCCACATGGGATTCCAAGATCATACTAACATCATTGGCACCATCACCTATCGACAGAGTTATTGGGCTGCCTTTTAAATTCTTCACCATTCTGACGATCTAAATATTAAATACAAAAGAGGTAAAGAAAAGGTCAAAGCAGAATTTAGGAGTTTATACCTCATTCACACTTGTAAATCGAAGCCCTGCAAACAGAAAGGTAGTTTGTGTATACATAGCCATCCCTCAGTTTCCCAGTGACTGGTTCCCAAATCCTCCATGGATTCCAAAAGACTCCTATGTATTTTAAATCGTCTATAGATTACTCATACATAATAATACCTAATACAGTGTAAATGCTACGTAATGTATCATTTTTATTATTGCAGTGTTGTTGTTATTTGGGGATTTTTCTAATATTGTTCATCCACAGTTGTTTAAATCCACAGATGCAAGACCCATGGAGATGGGGGGCTGACTGTATGTATATACAATAGTCTTGAATTCGCAGATGCAGAAGATAGCCATTCAAAATACAATATCAGGTTTGGCACCTGTGGCTCAAGCGGCTAAGGCGCCAGCCACATACACCTGAGCTGCTGGGTTCGAATCCAGCCCGGGCCCGCCAAACAACAATGATGGCTGCAACCAAAAAATAGCTGGGCATTGTGGCGGGCACCTGTAGTCCCAGC